TAGTTGCACAATCTGCAAGACATATATCTCCATTTTGGATTCGAGATCGATCCATAATCTAAAAGAAAAACAATATTTATTATTGATTAAAGTCGAGATACAGATAAAAGCACACACATACAACAAAACTTAGAAAGCAATAAAAAAACATGATCATCAGTTATTCTCGTGGTCATTTTCAGCTCTGTCTTCAACTACCGCATCAACAAAATCCAGGTTCAATATGTCATCGATGCCATATTCATCATCCACACGTGTTGAATCATTTTCAGAGGGTTCCCCAACCATAAAATTGGTTTCTATATTCTTATCTTTTGATTTCTGGGAATTGTTATAATTATCAACAACTTGTCTCGGAGCACGACAATTGCGTGCCCAATGTCCCGTCCTTCCACATCGATAACATGCCTTTTCATTATTATTCTCTGTCACATTATTCTGTTTAAATTTTGGCTGGAAATTTCTCCCCTTTCAAAATTTTGGGCATAGCCACGGCCTCTTCCACGATTATATTCTCGACCCGAGTTATACCCTGGGTGAAATTTGTGGCCTCGTCCAAATCGGCGATCTGGACCATATCCACGGCCACGTCCACGTCCACGTCCACGGCCACGTCCACGTCCACGACCCCGGCCACGTCCCGAGGTATATCCACGCACATATGTTTGACTGTTTTCAGTTCCGGTTCCCTGTTTAGATATTACAGCACTTATTTTAGGGACCACAGTAGACCCCGTGGGTCTAGATTCATGATTTTTCATCAACAGTTCATTATTTTGTTCAGCCAGCAACAAACAAGAAATTAACTCAGAATATTTCACAAAGCCTTTTGCTCTGTATTGTTGCTGCAAAAGTAAATTTGAGGCGTGGAACGTGGACAACGTCTTTTCCAGCATATCGTAATCAGTTATGTTTTCTCCACATAATTTCAATACCGAGCAAATGCGGAACATCGCTGAATTGTACTCGTTTACAGTTTTGAATCTTGGAAGCGTAAATGCATCCACTCATAACGAGCCCGAGGGAGAATTACCGTTTTCTGGTGATCATACCTTTCTTTCAAGGCTTTCCAGAGATCCGCATGATCTTTAACAGTTAAATATTCATTTTTCAATGTCTCATTCAAATGATGCTTCAGAAATATCATTGCTTTAGCTTTATCCTGTATTGATGAATCATTTGGGGAGATTATTGTTTTTTCCAATCCCCTTGCCGCCGAATGAATTTTGGCATCCAATGTCCATGAGATATAATTTTTTCCAGATATATCGAGAGCTTCAAATTCGAGTTTGACCAGATTTGTCATGATAACTATAAAATAAAACATCAATGCTTAGATTCGAAAAATTACATATACAATCATTAATTCTTCAATACGTACAAAAGAGCAAATATTAAACACATTATACAAATTCCCAAAACATAAAATATAAATTCAGCATAATGATACAACATCATGAATACTATTAAAGCGTACATAATAAACAATATAATGGTAATTATAACTAATGGATCAAACATTTTTTTTCTTAAAAGAAATATATTTTTAGTGTTTGGATTATGAAAATGAATTGTAGTGTTATATATAGATATTGGTAAATAGACGTTGCAATATAACCGTTAAGTAGCCATTGGAACAAAATTTAATGATATAATATTTGCTAATTAATTATTTATGATCATAAAATTATAATTAATCATGTATATTACTTTAAAGATTTTTCCGAATTATTTGATGAACATTTTCGTGAATATAACAAAGCAAGTAAAAAAATGCTCCACATTACTTGATAAATTTTACGATGGGTACTATAAACAGTTATAAATTTCACGCCACATTACTGGGTAAACCATTTTGTGGGTGTTAAGTATAAGTAATAATATTATTTATTATAACTTGAATAATAATTCATAAGCAAA